TCAGAGCAAACGAGCAGGTGGCAACAACATTTAAACTCGAGCAAGATGAACAAACAAACGAGCAGGCGAGCAGAGCAACCGAGCAACCGAGCAGAACAAACTAGAAGGCGATTAGAGCAAACGAGCAGGCGACTGACGGCGGCAACGACATTACCCCGCGCCGCGGCCCCCTTTCATTCACGACTCAGCACTGATGGTGATGGTGGGTTTCTGGGGCTCGCTCCTGGCTTGCAAGCTGTTGTGTTCGTGGCTGGTTGTGGGTCGGCGGTCCTCCTCCTCCTCCACCTCCTCTTTTGTCCCCCTCCTCCTCCTCCTCTTTCTCCCCCTCCTCGTCCTCGCCGTCCCTCTCCTCTTCCAGCTCCTCCTCCCTCTCCCAGTTCTCCCCCGGTTCCCTCCTTCAGCCCCTCCACCTCCTGACCCTCCTGCCCCTTGTCCTCCTTTTGTTCCCCCTCCCCTCCTCCTCCTCGATCCTCTTTCCTCTTTCCCCCCTTTTGCCCCCTCCTCCTCCTCGATCCTCTTTCCTCTTCTTCCTCCTCCCCCACTTCCTCCTCCTCCCGCCCCTCTTCTTTTCTCATCTTATTGTTTCCGTCCCCTCCTCCTCCTCCTTCTCCTCCTCCTCCTTCTCCTCCTCCTCCTCCTCCTTCTCCTCCTCCTCCTCCTCGCGATGTGCCCATCGTGCGCAGCACCTTTCGGTGGTTCAGAAGCGCACGTTCTCCAACATTGCGAAGAGCAAAACCATTGCCACGCACACCAATACAACAACATTTCTGACGAACTCGTTCCCCAGTCGGATCCGTGCTGTTTCGGCGGCAACGCAAGTGGCTACGTGTAAGGGTTTAGGTCGTGCTTATGGTCGCTGCGACATCTCAACAAACCGGTTTTAATTACGATGTCCGCCAGGGAACGAATTCTTTGTAATTGGTGGTACTTCCGCCGGGGAACGAGCCGAACAACCGGGGAACGAGTCGTTCAACCGGGGAGCGAGCCGCTCGCCTCCGGTCGGTGCGCTTTGGGAGGCGTGTGGTACTCATAGGACGCACACCCAAGAGCGGAACGCCCTCTGGGGTCCTCCTGAGAGGAGGAAGACGTGGGGCACTGTCTCATCAAAACGAAGACCCAACACCACAAGACTGTTGGGAGAACGATGTGGGGATCAGCTAAACATCGTTTCCGGTGCATGTGGGCATATTATAAAGCAACCCAGTCAAAAACAGGCTCAAAGATATCAGCAATATAACTGTGCTCACAAACAAATAACAATGGCACAACCCAACCACAGTTCGTGATGATACAACTACAGCCCAGATCCGATGCCAATTTCTACAGAAGCACTTATTATATCTCCAACTGCACCTCCTTATCATCCATCTCTGATTGCAGTTCATGGCCACCACAAATATTACCTTATCCGTTCGTCGTTGTACTTGCATCTCGCTGCTGTTGACTCAGCTCCTTTCCCCATGCTACCCCGTCCTCCCAACCCTACGCTCAGGCTCCGTCTGTCGGCCGTCCGGGCGCGCGCCCGAGGAGCGCGGGGGTGGACCGACCAAAAAAAGGTGCCCGGGCCCAGGGCCAGCTTTCTATTCCGCATCCCTGGCGCCGCCGCGTGAACACACGACCCCCAGGAAGCTCTTAAGCACCATCCCGCGTTACATGCGTGTGCGATTGATTACAGGTCGGGTGTTGCTAAAAGTGCCCCTGGCCCAAGTTGCCCCCAGGATGTCCAGGGAGGCCCCCGCGGTCTCCGGGGCACCCCTCACGAGGCCCAGAGGGCCCCGGGGACTCCAAACTGGAGCGAAAAGCTGGGGGCACCTTGGGCCAGGGGCACCTCTAGCAACGATTTCGGGGGCGGCCAAGAGGGGGGCGTCCAAGAGGGGGGGGGGTGCAAATCATGGCTGGCGGCATGTGCGCGGCCAAAGTGGGGGCCAGGGACGTCATGAAATAAGAAGAGGCGCCATGAAATCTGGGGAATATCATGGCCCACGCCATGATATGTCATCATCCCGCTCCTTTGGGGGGGCCACGCGCGAACCCTGCCCCTACCCCTCAGAAGTCCTGGGGGTAGGGGCAGGGTTCGCACGTGGCCCCCTATCTTTGCCGCCCCGATGACTACAGGGCCTCGCTCCTGGGGGCACCCTCGGCACCCTGGGAGGAGAAGGAGGAGGAGGAGGAGGAGGAGGAGGAGGAGGAGGAGGAGGAGGAGGGGGAGGAGGAGGAGGAGGAGGAGGAGGAGGACGAGGAGGAGGATGAGGAGGAGGAGGAGGAGGAGAAGGAAATTGAGCGAAAAGCTGGGGGCAGCCTGGGCCAAGGGCATCTCTAGCTACCCCCGAGCAGGGCCTCGCTCCTCCCTCGGCTTCAAGGGGCCGCCCAGGAGGAGGAGGAGGAGGAAGAGGAGGAGGAGGGAGGAGGAGGGAGGAGGGAGGAGGAGGAAGAAGAGGTCCTCTTTCGAGCCCGCCCGGGTGCGCACCAGTGCCCGGCGCGGCCCGCCGCCTCTCCGCAGACGCGCCCCTTGCAGCTGCCAGCGCCGCCGAGGAAAACATGATCGGCCCAGCGTTTCGCTCGAGACATCCTCAAATTTCAATTCGCCGGCCCACCTCGACCTCGATATCCATCGCAAAAGGACTTCGCCGGCCCACCTCAAGTCGAAACCGAGGGGTAAGCAAGCGAAAAGAGAACCCTGGGCCTATGCCCTTGTCCGGGAGCAGAGGCTGACCCACTGGAGCACCCCGCAGGCATCGCCAGGGAGCTTCTAGGTTTAGGTCGGGTGGCGATCCTCGCGCCTCGGGCTGGATAGCTGCCTCCGCGACTGCGGTCGACGGGCCGAGGAGGTCTACACACGTCCTCACCGCCCCGTGGCCCCTGGCCAGGCCCATCCTGGGCCCACGAGCGGCAGAAACGCCCCCCCGGCTTGCCCAGGGAGGCACAGATGTAGACACGGATCCCGGGCCCAGGAGATGGGCTGGCGATGGAACAGCGGATCTGGTAATTATGGATCTCGCACCCGACCCAGACCTCCTCGCGTCGTGAAAAAATCACGACGGAAGGTTTTTGGCTATTTTCGGCCTCTGTGCCCTTCCCGGGCCTCGGGACCGTCAATTATCCTGGCGAAAGACCCAACCATAAGCAATTGTTGGTAACGCGTTGTGGGTGCCGCTTTCGGTGGGGCTCCATATGGGGCCACGAAGCGCTGCCTTGGATGGGGGAACCGCATGCGGACTGCGCCACCGGGGCGGGCCTTCGGTGGAGCTCCCTATGGGGCTACGAAACGCTGCCCTGGGTGGGGGAACCGCATGCGAACACTGCCCACTGGGGCCTTCGGTGGAGCTCCCTATGGGGCCACGAAACGCTGCCCTGGGTGGGGGAACCGCATGCGAACACCCCCACTGGGGCCTTCGGTGGAGCTCCCTATGGGGCCACGAAGCGCTGCCCTGGGTGGGGGAACCGCATGCGAAGCAGCCACTGGGGACTCGGTGGGCCCCCATGGGGAACTGAGCGCTATGCCCTGGGTGGGGGAACCGCATGCGAAGAAGCCACTGGGGCCTTCGGTGAGCTCCCCATGGGGCCACGAAGCGCTGCCCTGGGTGGGGAACCGCATGCGAGAGCAGCCACTGGGGCCTTCTGTGGAGCTCCCTATGGGGCCACGAAGCGCTGCCCTGGGCGGGGGAACCGCATGCGAGAGCAGCCACTGGGGCCTTCGGTGGAGCTCCCTATGGGGCCACGAAGCGCTGCCCTGGGTGGGGGGAACCGCATGCGAACACCCCCACTGGGGCCTTCGGTGGAGCTCCCTATGGGGCTACGAAACGCTGCCCTGGGTGGGGGAACCGCATGCGAACACCCCCACTGGGGCCTTCGGTGGAGCTCCCTATGGGGCCACGAAACGCTGCCCTGGGTGGGGGAACCGCATGCGAACACCCCCACTGGGGCCTTCGGTGGAGCTCCCTATGGGGCCACGAAACGCTGCCCTGGGTGGGGGAACCGCATGCGAACACCCCCACTGGGGCCTTCGGTGGAGCTCCCTATGGGGCTACGAAACGCTGCCCTGGGTGGGGGAACCGCATGCGAACACCCCCACTGGGGCCTTCGGTGGAGCTCCCTATGGGGCTACGAAACGCTGCCCTGGGTGGGGGAACCGCATGCGAACACCCCCACTGGGGCCTTCGGTGGAGCTCCCTATGGGGCCACGAAACGCTGCCCTGGGTGGGGGAACCGCATGCGAACACCCCCACTGGGGCCTTCGGTGGAGCTCCCTATGGGGCTACGAAACGCTGCCCTGGGTGGGGAAACCGCATGCGCGCTGCCCGGTGGAGTGGGGAAACGAACCCGCATGCGAACACCCCCACTGGGGCCTTCGGTGGAGCTCCCATGGGGCCTACGAAACGCTGCCCTGGGTGGGGGAACCGCATGCGAACACCCCCACTGGGGCCTTCGGTGGAGCTCCCTATGGGGCCACGAAACGCTGCCCTGGGTGGGGAACCGCATGCGAACACCCCCACTGGGGCCTTCGGTGGAGCTCCCTATGGGGCTACGAAACGCTGCCCTGGGTGGGGGAACCGCATGCGAACACCCCCACTGGGGCCTTCGGTGGAGCTCCCTATGGGGCCACGAAACGCTGCCCTGGGGGGGGGAACCGCATGCGAACACCCCCACTGGGGCCTTCGGTGGAGCTCCCTATGGGGCCACGAAACGCTGCCCTGGGTGGGGGAACCGCATGCGAACACCCCCACTGGGGCCTTCGGTGGAGCTCCCTATGGGGCCACGAACGCTGCCCTGGGTGGGGGAACCGCATGCGAACACCCCGGGGAGGAGGGAGGAGGAGAGGAAGGAGGGGAACGCGGGGCACCGTCTCTTCAAAACGAGGACCCAACACCACAGGATGGTTGGGAAAAAACGACTCAGGATGAAGAACCGGTCCTTGGGCAAGGGTCCAAACCTCTTGGGGTCGACGTCGTGAAAAAATCACGACGTCGGAGGTCTGGGGACAGATGCTCCGAGGGCGCCGCTGATGTCCGTTTTCGCCGACTGCCTCCTGTCCGTCTCTGGCTCCACGGAGTTGCGCAGCTCTTCCGTGCGTCTGGGGATGCCGGGTGGAGCTGGAGGAGCAAAAAGGGGCAGGGCCCAGCGGGAGGAGGGCGAGGAAGGGGGAGGGGGAGGAGGGGGGAGGGGAGGGAGGGGGAGGAGGGGGAGGAAGGCGAGCGAGGGGGAGGAAGGCGAGGGGGAGGGGAGGAGGGGGAGGAAGGAGGGAAGGAGGGGGGAGGGGAGGAGGGGAGGAAGGCGAGGGGGAGGAGGGGAGGAGGGGGAGGGGGGGGGAGAGGAGGGAGAGGGGGGCGGCGTGGAGAACGGTGTTGACGAGGGTAGGAGAGGGGGGTGAGGATGCAGCGGCAGAGGGGGAGACCGGGGGGAAAGCTGGGGGAAAAGGAGGAGGAAGAGCAGCAGCAACGAGAGGGGAGGATGATGATGAGGAACAACTCGCTCTCGCTCTCGCCCATTCACTTAAATGTCTTATCAAACCTCATTCTCACAGAACCTGGGGGGGGGATACACCTTATCTGTACCCCCTTCACCTTGATAGTTCGAAGAGCCACGCGCGCTGGCAGATGCAACACTTCGTTGCCTGCGCGGGGGCCTGGCCGTTGAACTCAAGGAGGAGGACAAAGAGGAGGAAGAGGAGGACAGCTTAGTGATACGTTCCCAGATGGTGGATGCGCATTCGTCGTGCAGCAAGAGAATGAGGAGCTGAAGTATCAGGACCGACAGCTGCGGGGAAGACGGGATAGGAAGAGGGAACATATTTGTGCCCCTGGAATCCGCGACACACCGCCGGTGCATCGCCGAAAGGCATCCTGTGGAGAAACAGCAAATTTCTGGCAACGGTGGTGTACTTAACCAAATTTCCGACGTCGCTGTTTCACAACATGGACCCCCGAGATCTACCTCCCCCCCCCCCCGAAATTTAAACCACTTGTCTGGGATCGGCTTTTCATCCTGAATCGCTTCTGTAACAATCCTGGTGTGTGGCCAAGGCAAGCAGAGAGCGAACATGACCGAACACCCTCAGCTGTATTGTTGAGAGGTGTCTGGGGAAACAGCCCATGCAGGCAGGGAGTTCTCCCCTGAGCCTGCCGAGGAGGAGGAGGAGGAGGAGGAGGAGGAGGAGGAGGAGGAGGAGGAGGAGGAGAAGAGGGAGGAGAGGAGGAGGAGGAGGGAGGAGGAGGAGGAGGAGGAGGATGAGGAGGAGGAGGAGGAGGAGAGGGAGGAGGAGGAAGGAGGAGGAGGAGGAGGAGGGGGAGGAGGAGGAGAGGAGGAGGAGGCAGGAGGAGGAGGAGGAGGAGGAGGGGGAGGAGGAGGAGGAGGAGGATGAGGAGCAGGAGGACTGCGCCGTCTTGCACGCCTCCGTTTCAGTCTCTCCGCTTGCCCCAGCGTGCGCTCGCGACGGATTCCGATCGGCGAGGCTCCAGCTGCAAGGCACCTGCTCCTCGTCCCTCCCCGTCTGCCAAACTCGTAGTGTCCACGGGGCCTCGTTGGGGGCGCTCAAAGCAGAGGGAGCGAGTCCAATCTTGGTGTCACTAAGGGGTCAAAACATCGTGCGGTGATCATCTCGTAACCTCGCAAGATCTCAACGCAAGGTCCGTCACGGCACGGCTTGGGGACCGTGATGCCCCAATCGCCACAGAAAGCCTCAAAGAACGACCCGCATTCCAAAACCGTGCGGTGACCCCAACCCCCCACTAACCCACCACAAGGTGTCGTTACCATTCCGGCTGGGAGCCCCCAAGTCATCCCCACCCCACTCCAGATCACACAGTCGTCCAGAAGCGTATCATCGGCATGAGGACTGACTGGGCGAGAGCGAAAGCTCCTCCTCCTCCTATTTCCAGCCCAGTCTCCATCCCCATGCCCTCGCCCCCCTCCCCTGCTCTCGTCCTCGGCCTCCTCCTCCTCCACGCCGGCTCCCGATCCCTACCCATAATGATCCCCCCTCCCTCCCCTTGCCTCTGGCCTCTGGCCTTAGGAAGAAGCTCAGGGCGATCCCCGTTGACGTCACCGTCCCCAAGTCTTCCTCCTGCTGCTCCTCATCGTGGAGAGAGGCCAAGGCTGCCTGTGTAACACACTTCCCGAACTCCTGCGGGCCGTGCCACTGTGGACAGCGGAACCCAAATTTGGCTGCTCCTGCATCCTCCTGTCCTGGAGATCCGACGTCGCGAAGAAATGCCCAGTGACATACACAACCCATCTGCAAATTCGCCGGCCCAACGGGCCAGGGCGTGCTAAGATCTCCGGTAACTGGTTAACAGTATTAACAGTATTTCTAGTTCGCGCGCGCGGGGCGGCCCCTGGGGGTCCCCCGGCGAAAAGTACCCCGACCAACGCCCGGTCGCCGCCCGACCGCCGCCCGACCAAGTCTACTCAGAGATGGTTTTCCTTCTGGGTGCGGCCTCTCAGGCTCCCAGAGCGCGCTCAGAGTGCCCCAAGAGGCCCCCAAGACTGCCCAAGAGGCCCCCGAGACGCCCAAAGAGCGCTCGAAGACGCCGAAGATGACCCCAAGACGGCCCAAAAGGCCCCCAAGACAGCCCAAGAGGCCTCCAAGACGCCCCAAGAGCCTTCCAAGAGGCCTCCGAAGAGAGCCCCAAGAGGCCAAAATCGTTGATTTTCATTGGTTTTTTCGATGTTTTTTGTGTTCTGGCTTTTTCGGCTTCCGGACGCTCCAAGACGGCCCAAGAGGCCCCCAAGACCGCTCCAAGACGGCCCACGAAGCTCCCAAGACGGCGCCGAAACGACCCAAGAGAGCCCTCAAGACGGCCCAAGTGCCGCCCAAGACGGACCAAGAGGCCCCAAGACGGGCCCAAGAGGGACTCAGGAGGGATACCGAGAACTCAAAAATGGAGCCCTCCGTCCCAGAAGGCGCCCAGGAGGTCCCAAAGAGGCCCCAAGAGGCCTCCAAGAGGCCCCAAGATGTCGCCAAGAGGCCCCAGGAGACTCCCAGGAGGCCCAAAAGAAGCCCCAGAAGGCTTCAAACATGTCTCCCAGGCGCCCCCGAACGGCCTCTCAACAGACCCCAAGAGGCCCCCCAAAGAAGCATCTTGACGACGACTCTATTTCGCCCCATCGAGAGACGACCCCCAGGGAACTGCTTCACCATCAAAACTCCCCACGCAACGCGTCCGACCGACACCCGCCCCCAAGAGCGCAACATGGGCAACGAACACACAGACAAAAACCAGCGATGCCATATCACGGGCCGGCGGAATGAGCGAAGCGATTCAATAAGTGTCTATGGACATTAGCCCAGCATACACGGATGGTGAGACGACGAGTATCGCGATGTGCGGTCAAAACTAGCAAGACATAACGATTCAAGTGAGGTAATGCCTTGTTGTACGGCATGGTATGAAAAGAAGACGGAGGGACAAACGATGGCCAAGGCAAGGAAGGAAGAGGGATGAAGCAAGAACGGATGGGAGTAAAGACGGTGTAACAGACACGGCCATGGATCGAGCACAGACAGGAGCTCCGAAAAAGTTGCGACGAGAGTCCACGAAATCAGCGGCTGTTTCGCAATTGGCAGCCCCCATGTGGAGCGATGCCGAATCTGGGTCCGCGTACCTGGATGGCTGGACCTCCCATGGGCTGACGAAGGCAGTGACAATGGCGCAGTTGACAACCACATAACAAAACGATGTCTGCATCGCGCCCGCGCAAGCCGTCACTCCGCTGGACCATTCAGGAGCCCACGAAAGTGGCGACGGTGCACAAGTGGAGACGACTGATGAAACCAAATATGACCCGACAAGGTGCCACAGAAAGTGGAGTATAAATCGCAGACAAGATCATTGCAATCACAAGTGCTCCTCGTCGTCCTGCCAGTGCTTTGGCACTGACATTGACCATCGCCGTTGGCATTGTCTTTTGATTCACATGAGGACGAGGAAAGGCAACGTATGGAAGGGGGAAACATGTGTGAAAGTCGGGGGAGGGAGGAGGTCGAAGGAGCAAGTACAAAGTGGAGGGGAAGTGGGTGGGACCGGAAGGTTTGCACCAATCGAAAAGCGGGCGCAACAATGGGGGTTGACTGTAACAAGGGCTCCCAACTTCGCGCTTCGCGCTGCGCGCAGCGCGAAGTGCGAATAACTTCGCGCTCTCGCGCCGCCACCCAGGAGAGAAAGGGAGGACGAGGAGGAATCGGAGCCGAACCGCGAAGCGAGAATAACTTCGCGCCCTCGAGGGCGCCCTTGTGTAATATATTTACAGATATACATATTGAATACGTAGATATAAGAATAATCACAAGCGCCAGTGCAGTCTGAATCAACTTACCGGACTGGGCGAGGATGGACACCATCCCGCAAGGCTCACCATCTGGGAGCGTAGTCCCTGATGCTCATAAGCCGTTGAAGAAGCGGGCCCTGGGAGACCCTGCTGCTCTCTGGGCAGATACACCGAGCAGCTGCCCGAAGGTAACCCTTGGGAGGTTTCGGGAGACTCGTGGCCTGTGGACCATTTTCCGCGGACTTGAAGATCTTCTTGGCGTCTCGAGGGCCCTTGGACTATCTCGGAGGTGTCTGGGAGGTCCCTTGGAAACCCTGGGGGGCCAATGAGATGGAGCAACTCGGACCATCTGAGGGCTACCAACTTCAATCGAAACCGTATCGGGCGCGGCCTTGGGGATCCCCTAGGTCGTACTGTGCCTTGCTGGGAAGCGTCAAGAAGTTGCACGACGTACGGTGCCAGACAGATGACGCGGCCCACTCTTCTCATGGAGGCGACGTCCAGCACGACTCCGCGCCATGTATGATGGGGGGCGATACCGCCTTGCTGTTTTCTGGAAAGCGCCCAGGAATGCGACACGAAGGCGCGCAATGCAGCCGCGTGGAGGACCCAAGGCAGCCTGAGCCATGCTGGGAGTTTCTTTGGATGCCTTTGGGGGACGTTCTTGGAGGGCTCTTCTTCTGGATTCCTGGGGGTGGTCTCTTCGGGTTTTTCCCAGCCATCCTGTGGTGTTGGGTCCTCGTTTTGAAGAGACGGTGCCCCGCGTTCCTCTCCTCTCCACTCCTCTCCTCTCCTCTCCTCTCCTCTCCTCTCCTCCTCTCCTCCCCTCCTCTCCTCCTCTCCTCTTCACCCACCCAGTACACCGCTTCGTGGCTCCATAGGGAGCTCCACCGAAGGCCCCAGTGCCCGCGCCCGCATGCGTCACCCACACCCATTCCGGCACACCCCTCACATGTTTCGTGGCTCCATAGGGAGCTCCACCGAAGGCCCCAGTGCCCGCGCCCGCATGCGTCACCCACACCCATTTCGGCACACACCTCACACGTTTCGTGGCTCCATAGGGAGCTCCTCCGAAGGCCCCAGTGCCCGCGCCCGCATGCGTCACCCACACCCATTTCGGCACACCCCTCACACGTTTCGTGGCTCCATAGGGAGCTCCACCGAAGGCCCCAGTGTCCGCGACCGCATGCGTCACCCACACCCATTTCGGCACACCCCTCACACGTTTCGTGGCTCCATAGGGAGCTCCACCAAAGGCCCCAGTGCCCGCGCACGCATGCGTCACCCACACCCATTTCGGCACACCCCTCACACGTTTCGTGGCCCCATAGGGAGCTCCGCCGAAGGCCCCAGTGCCCCGCCCCCCCACGCGTCCAACACCAACACCATTTCGGCACACCCCATCACACGCTTCGTGGCCCCATAGGGAGCTCTACCGAAGGCCCCAGTACTGCCGCCCGCATGCGTCACCCACACCCAATTCGGCATACCCTCACACGCTTCGTGGCCCCATAGGGAGGTCCGCCGAAGGCCCCAGTGCTGCCGCCCGCACGCGTCACGCACACCCAATTCGGCACACCCCTCACACGATTCGTGGCCCCATAGGGAGCTCCACCGAAGGCCTTAGTGCTGGCATGCGTCCCCACACCCATTTCGGAACCCCCCACACGTTTCGTGGCCCCATAGGGAGATCCCCCGAAGGCCCACATGCCAGCCACACCATTTCGGCACACCCCTCACACGTTTCGTGGCCCCATAGGGAGCTCCACCGAAGGCCCCAGTGGCAGGGTCCGCATGCCTCCCCACACCCATTTCGGCACACCCCTCACACGTTTCGTGGCCCCATAGGGAGCTCCACCGAAGGCCCCAGTGGCCCGCGCCCGCATGCTCAACCACACCCATTCGGCAACCACCCCTCACACGTTTCGTGGCCCCATAGGGAGCTCCACCGAAGGCCCCAAGTGGCGTGCGTCCAGCACACCCATTCGGCATGACACGTTTAGTGGCCCCATCCTCGGCACCCAGTGGCGGCGCCTACTGCAGTCACCACACACACACACAATTCGGCACACCCCTCACACGTTTCGTGGCCCCATAGGGAGCTCCACCGAAGGCCCCAGCGGCCGCGCTCACATGCGTCCCCGCCACCCATCTCGGCACGCCCCTCACAACAACAGGTTTCGTGGCACCATAGGGAGCTCCACCGAAGGCCCCAGTGGCACCGCCCGCATGCGTCACCACCCGCACCCAATTCGGCACACCCCTCACACGTTTCGTGGCCCCATAGGGAGCTGCACCGAAGGTCCAGTGGCGGCGCCCACATGCGTCCCCGCCACACATCCAGTACACCCCTCACGCGCTTCGTGGCCCCATAGGGAGCTCCACCGAAGGCCCCAGTAGCGGCGCTTACATGCGTCTCCGCCACCCATCCCGGCCCCCCCCCCCGCAGCAGCATCATGTTTCGGGGACCCATAGGGAGCTCCACTGGAGGCCCCAGTGGCGGCCCGCACATGCGTTTCCGCCACCCATGTCGGCACGCCCCGCGCGTGTTTCATGTCCCCATAGGGAGCTTCGCCGAATGCCCCAGTGGCACCCATCTCGGCACACCCCTCACACGTTCCGTAATCCTATGGGGAGTTCCATTGAAGATGAAACCCGCAGCTGCGGTACTGACAACTGCATATGGTTGGGTTCTTCGCCAGGCTAATTGGTGGGGGTCTCCTGGTGGTCTCTTGGGACTTCTTGGGCGCGCCTCGGGGGCCTCCCCGGGGCTCTTGGCGTCTGGGCTCAAAATGTCAAATGGCCTCGAACAACATATTTGAAGGATTCCCAATCTTCTCCCAACCATCCTGCGATGCTGGGTCTTCGCTTTGAAGAGACAGCGCCCCGCGTCCAACCTCACCTCACATTCCTCTTCCCCCATCCTCCTCCCTCCTCCCATCCCTGCCTCCGCTCTTCGCATCTCAAAATCGTCATCATCACCACCATCACCATCACCGCCACCGTCACCATCACCATTATCATCCCCATCACCATCACCATCACCATCATCATCACCATGATCATCAGCATCATCATCATAATCATCAGCAACATCATCAGCATCAGAATTATCAGCATCATCAACATCATCGTCAGCATCAACATCAACATCCTCATCATCATCATGACAATCACCGTCAACATCATCATCAACATCATCATCAATATCATCAAAATCACCATCATCATCATCATCACCATCATCACCGTCACCATCATCATAACCACCATAATCGCCATCACCAACATCATCCCCATCATCATCATCATCAGCATCATCATCATCATCATCATCAACATCATCAATATCAACATCATCATCAACATCATCATCAACATCATCATCATCATCGTCGTCATCAGCAACAGCATCAACCGTCTATGTATGTACGTATGTATGTATGTATGTACGTACGTACGTCTGTCTGTACGTGTGTATGCATGTATGTAATTACGTATGTATGTGTGTGCGCATGTTCGTATGTATGTACGTATGCGCGGGCGCATGTATGTATGTATGTAACTATGGTTGGATGCATGTATCTATGCATGCATGCAAGCATGCATGTATGCTGTGTATACAGATCGACACACACACATATGTATATACACATCCACAAGCGCAGACGAACATGCAAGGACAGAGAGAACGTCGGAGGGACATGGGACCCGATCGGAACAGCGCGCCAGGCGAGTCCTGCGCGCGCGGGTGAAGCGCGGCTTCTTGTTCGGGCACACCTCCCCGGAGGAACGCGAGCGCCCGTGTGGACAAAGAGTAGGCACAACGCGCGCTGCACCTTTCCCTTCCCTTATGCATAAGAGAAACATGTCGCTCTGGCCAGCGATGTCCTCCGTCCCGCTCCCCCCTGCGCTGGGGCTCTGAAGCAGAGATCAGATAGGATGCGCGATCACAGGTTGCGAAGCATGCATCTGCTGTGCGTCACAGTATGCAGCCAACAACTCGCACGTGGCCTTCTGCAGCACCATGTCCAGGTCCTCAGCGACAGCGACCGCTAAAGGACAGCACAAGCAACAGACGAACCGACGGATAGAGTGAGAGCAGAAAGAGAGAGGTAGAGAGAGAGAGAGAGAAATAAACAACACATATAACGAGAGAAAGAGAGAGAGAGAGAGAAAGAGGGGAAAGAGAAAGAGATAAATATATAGATATAGTGGTGCATACATAGATATATATATATATAAGATATATACCATATAAGCATAAGAGAAGCAGCGGAACACCAAAAGGGCGATAAATCAAGAGAGAGAGAGAGAGCGAGAGAGAAACAGAGCGAGAGAGAGAGAGAGCGAGAGAGAGAACTACAGAGAGAGAGAGAGAGAGAGAGAAAGAGAGAGAGAGAGAGAAAGAAAAAGACGATGTAAACACCGCAGAGGTGGGGCGAAGGAACACGAAAGATGGCACGGACAACGCAGATAATTGGCAACGACCTACTCACATGCCTTCATACAGCAATTGTAACAACTATGGCATGCGTCACGCCACGGCGTGCATTCCATGTTGCTGCGTGCTTCCAGAGCGAAGTCCGAACAATTCGTGTGGCCTGCGGAATTGAACCAAATCAGCTATCAGAGACAGACCCCCCCACACGCGCAACATGCAAGAAACAAAGCGCATACAACCATACAAACACCCATTCTGACAGCACGGGCGTGATCATATGCTTGGCAGTGTGTGCAAGTTGAGGCCGTTCGGGCATACACTGCTCGCTGGACCAGCCAAATGAGGCTGGACACCAGCGCGCGCACGCAAATACCTCAACGCTTTCACCAATTTGCTTCGAGCGGCGCTGTCTTAGGCATGCGAAAGAAAAAAACTGTCAAATCAGCAAAACGGCAATACAGATCCAGCGCGGAGGCCTCACACTCTTCGAGGTGCTGGCTCAAATCAAGGAGTCTGGATGACGAACAATCCGGGAATCGTTTCAATTATGGCCGGGTGAAAAAGAGAATGCGGGTGGGGACGAGGGGGGTGAAAGTCTCCCCAGAGGTGTCCAAAGAAAGCATGTCCCCATGAGGGACGTAAGGGATGACGTGCTTGCAAAAGTACGTAGCACCCCGCAGTTGCGGATGAAAGTGAGAGGGCGGCCAGGACGTCGGGAGTCTGCGAGGCGCTGAAGAAGCCGGTTGCGGGGTGGGTCGCGGGTGGGTGGTTGCGGGTGGGTCGCGGGCGGGTCGCGGCCGGGTCGCGGGTGGGTCGCGGGTGGGTCGCGGGGTGGGTCGCGGGTGGGTCGCGGGTGGGTCGCGGGTGGGTCGCGGGTGGGTCGCGGGCCAGGTCGCGGGGGGGAGCGACAACAACAACAATCATTATAAGACTGTTCGCTCTTACTTGCCCGCGTGTCATTCAAAACGAGTTCCCCACACCCTCGATACTCGCCGTTTCGTCTTCGATCACACCCCCTTTGGGTTTTTTTTCTCTTTGCGGGGGGCGGCGGGCCTAGACAGGCGGGCAAACCTGAACGGGCGGACAATCCTTCGTGGGTGGGCGTACATGTGCCCGCCATTGGAATTGGTGTGGGCCCTGCAAAAAGAAGAGGGGGAGAACGAAGGAGGGTGGGAGGAATGGAGGGGGAGGGACGGAGGAAGAGGGAAAACGCCAGGAGAGAAGGAGCGAAGAGGGGGGCGGTCGATTAGAGGCAGAGAGAGAGAGGAAAAAAAAGACAGATAGGAGAGGTAGAGAACGAGAGGGAGAGAGGGGAAAGAGAGAGAGAGAGAGATAGAAAAAAACAAACAAACAAAAAAATAGGGAGGAGGCAGGAGAGGGGAGGGAGAAGGGAGGAGGAAGAGGAGGGAGAGGGGATAGGGCAGAGACGCATAAGGATGAGGGAAACCAGGAGGGAGAGAGAAGGGAGGAGAGGAGGGAGGAGGGAGGAGGAAAAGGGAGGAGGAACAGGAAAGTAATAGCGTGAACGTTCGATGAGGTCCTAAGCGAAAGAGCCGTTCCTGAAGGAAATCTCGGGCGGGAGCACACGACGGGCGGGCGATCCCCTGACGGGTGGGTCGGGCGGGTGGGACAGTCAAGCGGGATGCCTGAATATGGCGAGAGCGCGATTACTAAGTACATTGTAGCGGCGTCCTTGGCGCGTTGTTGCAATCTGGGGGGGCAGGGGTCCAGTTTGAACACCAATACTTTCTCTGTTAAAAAAAAGGGTGCGAGCGTCGAAGGGCACACTTCGATTGATAAAAAACAGCATGCACCGGTGAGGGGGATCAACCATATTTCTTCCGAACTGAGAATTCAACAACAACAACAACCAGTTTCAGACTGTTCGCTCTGATCTGCTCGCGTGCCATTCGACACGTGTATCCCGAACTCTCGATACCAGCCCTCTTCGTCTTCGATCGTACCCCCTTGGGGGTGTATCTTCCTTACCTGCCGCGTGTACTTGGTGCAGCCCCTGAAGGAAGGGAAGAGGGGACGCATGGGGGGGAGGGAGACGAATGGAGCACGGAATTATCAGGAGGGAGGCTAGGAACAAAAACCACGTGGCAAAACCAGGCGGGCAGATCATGTGGGCAGACCCTAGCGGGCTGGTCGGGAAGGCGGGTCCAAGCGGCCAGGTCGAGAAGGCGGGATGCTGAAGCATGCGTTCTGCATGAATCGCGAGGAAGCTTCAAGCGATAGCGCGATTCCCAAGCAGACCGTGAGAAAACCACAGCGAGAACGTGATTCCTGAGTGTCGAGGGCGCGGCGCCTGCATACATTGCGAGGATGTCCCACGCGAGCGCGCGATTTATGCATACATTGTGAAAAAGTCCCCAGCGACAGCGCGATTCCTCAACACATTGTGAAGAAGTATCAGGCGGGAGCCGTTGCTGTTACTGTTGTTGTTGTTGTTGAACATTATTAATTCTAAAGAATAATTATTGTTGGGCCCCCTGGTGCGCGCCCCCCCCCTGCGCCGCCTAGGCCGCAGCTACATTTTCATCACTTTCGTGAGGAAGCCTCAGGTAATTCGAGTTGATCAAGATCCGGTTGTTTTGTTGTAATCCGTTTTCCCTTGCAAAAAACACTATAAAATGACATTTCTTGTTCAAATATAATCAAATTTCAAGAATCCCTTGCAAAAAATAAGGTAAAGTGGACATTCGCGCGCGCAAGACGAAATCCTTCCAAAAGCTTAGTGTTCGGAGCGATTTTAACATAAAAACATCAAAAAACCAATGGTTTTTCAACAAAAAAATGTCAAAATCTCATCCCGCGCGCTCTTGCGGATTCGTAGGAAACCCAACACTTTTTAAACATTTCTGTCAAACGGGCTTTTGCGAGCAACTTTTTCGAACTTCTGCGACAACGGTTGCGCACCTGCCAGGGCATCATCCCTGTCAAATAATACCATGCGGGACACATTCGTCTCTCTGTATTATGTATTGTATGGCACAATTGCACCATGCTGGGCACATGCGCGCCCCGAATAAGTGACCAAGTTCTGTGGGTGTGTACCCCACGCCAGTGTAGTAGCCACGGTCGTCCGCACGCCACGAAGTGAAGTGTCCAACGTCATAGGGCGGGAAGCTGGGTGTGGGTGGTGGCGAAGAGTCGTTTGGATATTTGGTAGAGCTTGAACTGCCCCCCCACAAAGTGGGGGTATTGGCTGGCGTCGCATGAAAACCCTGGCACTGGTGAGAACACTGAGCGTTCGGGTAAAGTGATTGTTGTTGAACATTATTATTCTAAAGAATAATTATTGTTGGGCCCCCTGGTGCGCGCCCCCCCTGCGCCGCCTAGGCCGCAGCACATTTTCATCATTTTCGTGAGGAAGCCTCAGAAAAGAGGGTGTGTACAGGATCCGGTTGTTTTGTTGTAATCCGCTTTCCCTTGCAAAAAACAATAGAAAATGGACATTTCTTGTTCTAATATAATCAAATTTCAAGAATCCCTTGCAAAAAAAAGGTAAAGTGGACATTCGCGCGCGCAAGACGAAATCCTTCCAAAACCTTAGTTTTCGTAGCGATTTTAACATAAAAACATCAAAAACCAATGTTTTTTCAACAAAAAAATGTCAAAATTTCATCCCGCGCGCTCTTGCGGATTCGTAGGAAACCCAACACTTTTTAAACATTTCTGTCAAACGGGCTTTTGCGAGCAACTTTTTCGAACTTCTGCGACAACGGTTGCGCACCTGCCAGGGCCATCATCCCTGTCAAATAATACCATGCGGGACACATTCGTTTTTTCTTCGCGCGCGCACGCCGAAATCTCCAAAAACCATTGGGTTCTGTGGGTGTGTACCCCACGCCAGTGTAGTAGCCACGGTCGTCCGCACGCCACGAAGTGAAGTGTCCCAACGTCATAGGGCGGGAAGCTGGGTTTGGGTGGTCGCGAAGAGTCGTTTGGATATTTGGTAGAGCTTGTAATGCCCCCCCACGAAGTGGGGGTATTGCCTGGTGTCGTATGAAAACCCTGGCACTGGGGAGAACACCACGCGTTCGGGTAAAATGATTGTTGTTGTTGTTGTTGTTGTTGTTGAACATTACTTCTTCTTAAGAATAATTATTGTTGGGGCCCCTGGTGCACGACCCCCCCGCCGCGCCTAGGCCGCAGCCTCATTTTCATCATTTTCGTGAGGAAGTCTCAGGCAAAACGGGTTGGTCCGGATCCGGTTGTTTTGTTACCCCGCTTTCCCTTGCAAAAAATAAGCTAAAGTGGACATTTCTTGTTCTAATATAACCAAACTTCAAGAATCCCTTGCAAAAAATAAGGTAAAGTGGACATTCGCGCGCGCAAGACGAAATCCTTCCAAAACCTTAGTGTTCGTAGCGATTTTAACATAAAAACATCAAAAAACCAATGGTTTTTCAAAAAAAAAAAGTGTCAAAATTTCATCCCGCGCGCTCTTGCGGATTCGTAGGAAACCCAACACTTTTTAAACATTTCTGTCAAATGGGCTTTTCCGAGCAACTTTTTCGAACTTCTGCAACAACGGTTGCGCACCTGCCAGGGCCATCATCCCTGTCAAATAATACCATGCGGGACACATTCGTTTTTTCTTCGCGCGCGCACGCCGTCGTCGTCGGCCGCGGGGCCCTGAATAGTAGCCACGGTCGTCCGCATGCCACGAAGTGAAGTGTCCGAACGTCATAGGGCGGGAAGCTGGGTGTGGGTGGTGGCGAAGAGTCGTTTGGAAATTTGGTAGAGCTTGAACCGGCCCCCCCACAAAGTGGGGGTATTGCCCGCCTCCTATGAAAACCCTGGCACTGGTGAGAACGGAGTGTCCCCACGTGCTAGTAATTGTTGTTGTTGTTGTTGTTGTTGTTGTTGTTGTTGTTGTTGAATGCTCATTTCTGAAAAGAAAAAACAAAAAAAACATTATTGTTGATCCCCCCACCTGTGCATACTGCTTTTTCTCAATCCAAGTGTGCCTCTCGACGCTCGCACCCTGTTTTTTGACAGGGAAAGTCTTCCTACTCAAACTGGCCTCCTGGCCTCCGGGTTACAACAACAACGGTTCCCGCTTATGACTTCCTTGCAATTTAGCCAGGACCCCCGTTCCCGCCCGAGACTTCCTCGCATTGTATTCAGGAATCGCGCTCTCGCTTGCGACTTCCTTACAATTTATTCAGGAATCGCTCTCCTGGCGCTCTGGAGTAGCGCTCTCGCTGGAGACTTGCTTGCAACTTACTGAAGAATGGCCTTGCGTTGGAATTCCCTCTAATTTGCCCAAGCGCCGCGCTCCCGACACCCAGGCACCCAGGAGTCGCGCCCGTTGTGGCCCCATGTGCATGCCCTTCGTGGCCCCGCTGTCGCCATTTGTGTCCTGTCCTACGTGGCCCAGTTGCTACCCTCAGTGGCCCCATAGTTGCCTTCTGTGGCCCCGCATTATCTGCACTTCGTGGCCCCCGCTCGTTCGCGCTCTTCGTGGCCCCATACGCATTCCCTTCGTGTCCCCGCTGTCGCCCTTCGTGGCCTACTTCGTGCCCTTCGTGGCTCTGCTGTCGTTCTCTCTCGCTCTCGCTTTCGCTCGTCGTCGCCGTCGTCGTCGTCGTCGCCGTCGTCTTCGACGTCGTCGTCGTCGTCGTCGTCGTGGTCGGTCCCCTTTTCCGTCCCTCTTGGGGTCGGGTCGACGGTCCGCGGCCGCCCCGCCGATCAGCGCTGCCGCTGGCCAGACCGACGGTCCGCAGCCGCCCCGCCGCTTGCCGGGGCCCGGCCTGCAGGGAAGAAAGGTATACCCCCCAAAAGGGGTTCGATCGAAGACGAAGAGGGCGGGTATCGAGGGTTTGGGAAATACGCGTTATTGGACACTCGAGCACGTAAGGGCGAGCAGTCTTAACATTATTGTTGTTGTTGTGTTTGCTGTTGTTGTAAACCGACGGCCAAAGAGACAATTCTGAGACCCAAGACTTCCCCTGATAAAGAACAGGGTGCGAGCCCCAGGAAGGGCACTTCAATTGAAAAATACAATGTGCCCCGGAGGGGGGATCAACCATATTTATTATTCAGTAGTGATAGCTCAACAACAACAGCAATCCGTACCGCAGAACCTTACAGCCACGCGCCCAGGGACATTGAATGACCGCTCGGCCCCTTCACTCTGATGATGCTACGCAAACGCCGCAGTGACAACAGCGACAATAAGCACCAATGGCAATAAACAACAATGACAAGAACGCCAAATGTGCGAACAGAAGAAAGCGGTGGACGTTGGCAATGACGGCAGGCGCAGCGACAATCGAGACGATCTCCTCGCGAAGGAAGGACAACTGCTTCATGATGCGTGTGAACTCCATCGGCTGGGCGGATGTCGCCACCTTCGTGATGCCCTCGCAGAACTCCTCGATGGACACTTCGCCCATGCAGTGGTTGTCGAGAATCTCCGGTCGACCGGATTGCCTCCTGCCTCCTCCTCCTCCTGCCCCCTTCTCCCCGTTCTCCTCCTCCTCCTCCGACTTCCCCAATCAGTCCTCCCATGTTTTCCCATCATCGTAATACCCCTCCACCTTCCAACTCATCCTTCTTCATAATCTTACATTGGGCGCGCCCCCCTACAGGCGGATTTTGGGCGACAAATCTAAAACACTCCGAAAAGAATACTCACGAATAGTCGAAACATACCCCAAAAAATAGTCAACAGACTACTTCTTACTATTTTTGGATATCCCTCCCATAGAGGGACAGGCCCGACTTAATCATACAGTGCGGGCGCGGCCGCAAGAAACCCTCGCAAGAAACCCACCCCTGAGAACCAGCGCGCGAGTGCACCTGAGGGCAAAACCTGGAGCACCACCCTGAACGCAGCAGCTCCCTCCACGGCTGCGGGAAGCCACCGCGCAGCGCGAGGAGCGAAGAAACCCATGATACCCTGACGAAGAGGATACGGTTTCTTGATGCGCGCCCCCACTGTAGCTAAAACAGGGCTAGGATCGGGATAAATCGCTCCAGAGCGCTGCGGAGCGCTCTCAGAGCGTTCCGGAACGCTCTGGAGCGGCCGCGGCACCCAGCACATCCTCCAAACCCGCCGATTCTCAGAGATTTCGAGTTATCCCGATCCGAGTTTGTCCCGATCTTCGCGTCGTTTTGCCACTGCCGCTCGGTCCTCGGGTAGCACGCTGGGGTCGTGGGCGCCCGCTGCCTGGCCAGGAGGCCGGGGCGCGTGCGGGCCCGTGGCCGGGGGATCAGACGGGTCAAGCAGCACAGGATCCAAGGGGCCCAGGGACACACGAGTCAATACTGAAGGGGCCCAGAAGCACACAAAGAAACACACACAAATGAAACGATTCCCCCTATCTTCCCACATTTTCGGAGCTTTTGTCTTCCCCACCACTTCCCATACGTTCCCACATTTCCCTGGGGATCGACGATTAACTGTGTCTGTGTGTTTCTTCCCCTCCTGAAATACAGCGGCGTGACGAAAGTTCCTTTGAAATTTGGAGGAGCCGTGGACGTGCCAAAACGGCATCAGCCACCCCCTGCCCCCCCTAGAATCCTAACAAGAAGAGGGTTTCGGGCCTCTGCCACGGGCGGGATCATTACCCCCTGGGGTCCTGGGGCTTAGTAATAACATACTTTAGATCCCGGACCGAAATTATCCCATTGGTTTTTACGTCAAAATAATTATCCCAATCTCTCCCAGATCCTGGCCGAATGATCCCATCGATGTTTTACATGGGAAACAATTATCCCGGGGTCGTCCCTACGGTCCTCATTCGGTGATTTCGGTTTTCTGCCTTTCAAAGGAAACTTTTGTCACGGCGAAGTACACGCAAAGAACAGGAGCCCCAATATGTTCCAATCTTTTCTGGGCGTTCGTCTTCCGTCTTCCCCCCCCCCACTTCCCATAGCTTCCCATATTCCCCTGGGAGTCGACGATTCATTGTGTCTGTGTGTGTTTGTTTGTTTCCCTCTCCTGAATCACCAGTGGCACGCCCTGATGCCCAAAGTGGCCAGTGGCACGCCCTGATGCCAAACCTCTTCCAACTGCCCAACACCACGACTCTCAGAATATGCCTACTCTTAAATCGGGCGTGTCCCCCTGCAGGCGGATTCTCGCCACAAAATTTTAAAACAAGGTACCCCACAAATATTCAAAACACACTCAAACTTTGTCAAAACAATGTCCCCTGACTATTGGTTGACTAGTTTTGAATATTCCCCCTGTAGAGGGACAGGCCCGAGCTATACCTACTCTGCACGAAGATCTGGCGTTGAGAACGCCCGTCTGCCGCCCAGGCGAAAAAACATCAAAGCCCGGCTGAGCAAGATGCGCAAACACGGAGAGTGTGCCTCCCACAGCTCGATCAGAGACTCGGTGTCCAAGCACTTGCTGAGCTCCTGATGCGCCGTTGTGACGAACACTGACACCGCAATTCGCGGCAGTGCCAACAGCAAGATGAACACACTGCTTCGGGCATCGACGACGAGAACACTTGTCAGCGAAAACACACGTAGAGCGGTTCGTAAAATGAGAGATTCAGAAAACACGAGCACGGGGCTGAACAAGTCGCTAAATGAGATCACCGAGAGGGATGAGGAAGAGGCGGAACACTGAAGAAAAAAACAGAGGCCGCTCAGCGAGATGGACCGTACATGGACAATACGTTCGAGTCCTGCGGCGCAAGATGCCCCCCCAAGACTCCCAAATAAATAGTGAGGGTGCGGCACTGGAGCGGGCTCGGGTGGACTAAAATCTCCGACCCACCAAACCATCAACCATGTTAACATCGGCATTCATTCTCTTA